CCCAGGATATGGAACTAAAAACGAGTACAATATGTCTGCTTTAATTACATGTTTTATTAAAATTCAGTCTGTTTACTAAAATGATCAGTCCACCGAATTTCACCTTGGCTAATGTTTTCCAGCTCATGAGTGTTTAGCTCTTGGATAAAGGAACAGTTGCCGGCCATCCTGCTGTCGACAGGCTTTCCACTTCTGCCACTGAGTTGACAGCCTCAGTCCTTCTGTTGCTGTTTATTCGTGTTTGTTCTGTTCGTGATTCCAGATCTGAGATAACCATGTTTCAGTTTCGCATTCAGTGAAATGGCACTTCTTCTTTGCAGGTGTTTTATTGCCATGTTTGACAAGTTCTGCCATAAGCCACAGGTGTATAAATAGAACATACACACATGCAGCTGTGTAAATTGGACAACAAAAAGAAACATTTGCATCCCTTTGTAAAACCTCACAGAGCTTTTTGCTTCCTGCCTTTAGCCTTAAAGATAAAGATACGCAACAAAATGGAGCAGGATGTTCGGTTAAAATTAATAATTTCTCAAACCCTCATGAGTCCCACGAGGATGTGTTCAGGAACATCAGTCTTTTTCTTCCCAGTTTGAGGGCGACATTTATTGCTGTGGTAAAATGTCTTTTTACAGCTGTTTGATAAGCTGTGACTTGGCAGCGACGTTTCATCAAGCACGAACAGTGTTTTCACATGCACACTTTAACTGCTCACTGCAGGTCAAATTTTCCCATCGATTACCATTTTTTAACCCTCGAAAAAATATTCACTACAACATGTTCTCCAATACTTCATGAAGAAAAATACAGAATTACCATTATTTACAAAGCAAAGGACAAAAACAATGAAATTGAGGATAAGAAACAAGAACAGGAGAAAAGATGCACAGAAATTCAGAGTAAAATCCAAGCAATGGTGAGCAAAAATACCAATTTGAAAGGACTATATAACAAAGCACAGTAAACACTGAAATGCAAGAGGAGAAGTGACGACAAGAGAAAAAACAAACTATTCAGTCTACACTTCAAGAACTGCAGAGGAGACATCAAGAGTTGCTGGGCATCCAAGACAAAGTACAACAAACAAACCACAACATGCATGAGGATAAGAAAGTTCAAGAAGAAAAATATGAAGAGCTGCAAGAGAAACAGTAAGAACTCCAAGAAAAGCATGAAAAAATCACGAAAAATTAAAGGGCTGGAGAAAATTTGAGTTACAACACAAAGAACTTATTATTGAGATGACAAATCTCATAGCACAGAACAAAAGTCTACAGGAAAAGTGCCTGAAAAAGAAGAAGCACTTCAGGTTTTCCAGAAGAAGGACTCTGCTGCTTCTTCACTTCAGCCTGGACAAGAGAAACCTCATCTTCCTCCAACAGGAGCAAACTTTACAATAAATGATGCAAATAAATTCACTGTGCTTCAGGATTTATTCAATGCTAATCGGGTTTAGAAACATTACTGATGGTACTGAATGTAATATATGCAGAATGATTGAGATTGTGGAATTAATTCATAATTATTCTGTAGCGTGTGGGTCTGTGAAACACGTATCATGCATAAGAAAACCCCAAACACACAAAAAGGAAGGATCATCTTCAGAAAGCCTGGAGAACTATTGCTCATTGCGGTTCAAGACTTTTGCACTGCACTGTACACAGTTAACATTCACTAATGTCACTGGTGCGTATTTAGAATTAAAAACCTGCTTAGATACTGGTCCCCAGTTACAAGTCTGTTTGCAATCAATCGCCAAGAATATTATATTTCTTCAGGGAAACTGAAGAAAGCAAACAGTTTACTGTGGTGCACAAATAATAGTTTTCCTGTGTTTCTTTCCATGTCCGTGTCCTCTTCTCTTCGACTGCTTTTGCATGAAACAGATCGTTCTCATTCTGTACTTTTGTGTTTTATTTTTAAGCTAATTCCATCTGACCCGCTGCCCTCTTTCTTGCCATAAAAACTGCTCACGCCTCTGCATGCTTGCATGTGCCCAACCTTAATTTGACTTTGTGGCCACGCATGTGGAACGTGCACATCCATCTAACACAGGGATGAATGCAGAGACAGAGATGACGGAGGCGAGGTTTGCAGTCTGACGCGACCTGACATATGGAGATAGAATGCTACAGGGAGAATCAGCCTTAAGGACATGTTGCATGATGAGTTAGGTGAGAAGGATCAGGCAAATATGTTCAAGCCTAAGACTTTATTGCATGATAAAGGGTGTGTATGGAGATGATGACAGAGAAACAGGGGCTGACATGTAGGTATCTGAGCAGTTCCTCACTGTTGTCAATTACAATGGTAGCTGTAGGCCAGTTTGGCGCGTCAGCTGTCTGAACATGTTTTGTAAATTTGCTTGAATATTTATCAAAACTGGGTATATTTATTTTTGTATCTTGGTATCATATTTCTTGCTTTAATCTTTTTTTTTTAACCTGGAAATCAAATGAAGTGCTTCTCGAATAAAAGTACAAAGTGCCTTAAGTGTAATATTGAGTAAACGTTACGTCAGTTAATTCAGGAATAATTGTGTTAGTCTTGATAAAAATTCATCTTGCTTTGCTTAAAAAGTGCCAAAGTGTTAAAAAACAAAACCAAACAAGTTATATTCATTCATAAATAATGTTATTATTACTAATGCTGCCGATTTTGTTATTAAGTAAGTATTATAAGAAAGTGCAATAGAGAATATTTTTCAGTTTTATTAATTTAAATCCCGATGCATAAATATAACAGCTGATTTTAACTGCTGTGTGGTTTGCATGTTCTAAACAAGTTGTTAAACACTGCATGGGTGTGCCACAGATTTGTGCTCTACTTGAACGAATGTCGCTGGTTAGAAATAACAATGAGCACATGGGAGTGATTAATCTGTTTCGTGTGTGGCAGACAGTCAGCCGAGGTCAAGACTGAGGTCCAGATGGGACGTCTGAGTCGACCCTCCTTTCACTGTCCGCTTGACGCTGACTAAAATGCCCACAGACGCTGTTTTGTGGGAGTTTATGGGCGTCTCTGTGCATCCTGAATCCTTTTAGTCTCAACTTGTATCTTCACGTCTCCAGAGCATGTTGGACCCTCGATTCACTCTTGATATTTAAGAGCAAAAAAATAATAATCTGTGTGTAAAAGCCATCGCCATGACAACTCCCCAACCTTTGACGCACACCTCAATCAGACATCCACACCTGTTTTGCTTCTGTGGCACTATCTGGTTGCTTTGGAAACACACATATCTGAGGACAGTCCACAGCTGTGGAATGTTTTTTTGATCTCGCTGTGCATTCTGACCAGCCAAGGGCAGCTTGTTCTCTCATTTGCAAACAAAGTGACTTACAGACTTTTAGGATACTTTTATCACCTTCCTTTCATCCAAAAATAACGCTAATTTATAATACACTGTGCATGCGAACTCTGCTCCTTGTGTGGATTAACTTTTATTAATCTGATTTATGACTCACGCTACTGGCTATGTATCATCTGTCAGCATTTGTCAGTGCATCACAGAGAGCTTCACAAACCTCCGCCTATATCTCAGGATGAGTCGTTTGGAAGAGGTGTTGGGAAGAGTCCTGCTGCTTTCTGATTGGCAGGAGACACCGAGCTCGTCCTTTCATCAGAGGACGAACACATGGCTCATCCAACGCAGACGCAGGCCCGGTTAAAAGGATGGATTAGTTGGAAGAGAGGGTTAGATGAAAGATGGGATAGGACGCATGGAGCACGAGAGGAAAGATGAAAGAGTGGTTGGTGAAATGAGTGAAGGTCAAGAGAGAAAGAGCAAAGGATTGATGTGATTGATGTGAAACAGCTTGTTTTCATAAGGATGATGCACGCTGGCTGCCCTGTGTATGTGTGTGCCCGCATGTGTGTGCATTAAAGCCAGTGTGTGTGTGCATTATGTCATATGTCTGTGTGGTTATTGGCAGTAGTATAGCGACTGCTCTCAGGATGCCCCGTTTCCCACGAGTTCTCTGACACAGAAACAGATTTTTTTCTGTCTTTTTTTTCCACCCTCACCACACTCTGCTGTTTATCACATGCTAGATAAAAATCAGCCACAGCCCTTTGAGAAAGAAGACTTTTTTTTCTTTCCTCTTCCCTTTTCAAATTCAAAAGAAATCTCACTCTTTTGTAAGCACGCACCACAAAAATAAATGCATTTCCCTAATGTTGCAAGTGTCTGCTTTCCTGTGACCGGTTGCCAAGAACAACACCACTCTGAGTCAGCATTTCAGTTTTGGTGTTGCGATTCACCACATCCTCCACTGACTGTCACCTGTCCTGCTTCAGGCCCGATCGGCAGCAAACCGTGCGCAGTTTTGGTCACTCGAATATTTTCCTGGTCTGCTTCACTTTTACGAGGCATTCCTGAACTGTGTGACACATCTAATTACGCAGGGGAACGAAATGTGGCCACGAAGGACGGGCGAAGATTAATGTGATTCCATCAGTCATCCAGCTGAAGCCTGCAAACATGTGACGGCTCTGATCTGAATGCTACGTGCTGTCAGGCTGTGATTGCGCATGCCACATCTGCTGTGGTTACCTTGATTAAATCTTGCACAACCAGGAAGCTTTTTCACCTCGTTTCAAGTTCGTGCAGGGTTTACCGATAGTGACATAACTCGGTCCACTCAGTGGGAAAAACTATTAAGGGATTTTGTTGTTTTTATTCTGAACCCATCTCCCCTCCCCTGGAGGAACTTTCCTGGAATCCTCATGTTGTGATCGTAACCTGCTTCTGACACATCTACTGATAATATGTGATAATAGATTCTTCTGACTCTCACTTTGTTTCCATGTGCAAACTGTGTGCACCACATGCCTGTAGCCACAAATGTGCCCAAAGTCCTCCAGCGCTCTCACGGAGCACTGTGGACTTGACTGCACTTTGAAGCCTGCAAAGTCACAAAGAAAACACCACCGACCACCGTTTTACTCTCTCACTCTCTCAGTCATCCTTCTCTCCCTCAAAGGCCCTTTTCACCTCAGAGGAAAAAGAGTCAGGAACAGGAGACCGGGAGATAAAGAATAGAAAGAACGGAAACAGCAGTTGAGAGTAAGATATTGTGAGATAGATATCATGAAGATATCATGTCATCTCTGACCTTGAAAACACAAAGGGAGGGAGAGAGAGAAGGTCAAGGCATAGTAGTTTGTAAAGTATGAATTGTATTATGCTGTAGCTGAATAGAAAGAATGCAGGAGGTCTGTTCCAAATCATCGGTAGATGCCCGAGAAGAAAAGAAGGTTAAGAAAAAAAAAAAGCAAGCGAGAGAGAGAATGGGATGGAGATGTGTGAGTGTGATAGAAGGTACAAAGAGCGGGAGGCTGATAACTGGAGCCAGACAGCTGCGAGTGTTACTCTCATTATGTGTCTGTATTTGTGCTTCTGTCTGTGACTAACATTCGCATACTTTCACTGGCTGCTATCACATTCACACCTTACGTGTCACCCTGAACTCATGGCATGGATTTAATGTGGTTGTCTGGCATTAGCTGCCGTTACTGTGTTGCCTTTTCTTTTCTTTTCTTTTCTTTTCTTTTATATAGTTTTAGACGTACATCTCAGGGGGAAAGCTGCCATTTTTGCAGGGTCAGAGCTGTTAGTCCCCAAGCATTGGCTTGACAAATAATCAGAAAGGTCAGGCTAAAGCCACACTTTTAAAAATTTGCTGAAATTACAGTTGGTTTAGGCCTGCACATCCTGATTCAGGTGTTTGTGCGAAGCATTTAGACATATTTCATGTTGCTTTTAGAGCTTGAACTGTTACTAAAAAGCAATCAAATCACTCATGAAATGCAGATTACAGAATTTATAGAGTGAGGAGCTGCTCCGGCTGTGAATCCACTTTTGTTGAAATGTACAAATAATTCCAAAGTGTTTGTCAGGGAAAAAAAAACAAAATCTGTCTCACTGGAAGTGAAAACAGGCCGCCTCCCTCTGAGCTCAGACATGCAGGCCTTCTCAGTCTATATCCTCGTTGCGTGTGTTTGCAAGGTCACAGGGCTAGACGGCCGAAAACATACTGGCACGCACACATACACCCAAACACATTAACTGATCATGCCGCCAGAGAGGGGATTAGACTGAGAAGCCGGCAGGGTTAGGGGGGTTAGGGTAAAGTATGTGTGTGTCTGTGTATGTGTATGCATGGAAGGTAGGAGTATCACACAGTGTCATGGCACGCACTTTTAGAATTAAAGCCGATTTACTTTCTCGAGAAGAGGCAGCAGCTGCCCATAGAACAAGAGGTGATCTAAAAAACACCATCTAAATTTTTTTTTACATTAAAATCACAACATAGCAACTCAATTTAGTTGCAAACTGACAGACAGCAGCACTTTTTTGAGCTCGAAGAGTTACAATATGCTTGAACTTTTGCTGATCCCAGAGGGAGGATTCATTGTTAAGCTTGGCTTCTTCCACATGGAGATTCAAGTCAAGGAGTGCGCAGAATAGCAGCTGTATTGATTTGGCATCTTGCTCAAGTACTCTACAGTGACACTCGAGATTGTAAAAAACATACCCAGGGAATATGGATTTCCTTCTGGCTGAATGTGAACTGTGGGTATGGGAGTTAATGCTTGCTATATTAGATCTATGCTCATAAATTGGTCATAAATGTATTTACTCAACAAATGGTGGAAATGATCACCTGTGCCATGTGCTTTTCGTCTCCAGAGAGCAGAAGAGACGGAGTGAGGAGCAGCTGTCCCAGCTAGAAGACTCTGAAAAGGAACACAGAGGAAAGCTCCTCAGGTTTGCTCCTCTTTCTGTTTCTCCACGCTCCAACTTTCCCACAACCACAACTCTCATCCCACTCATTCTTCTCCAATTATTCTCTTCCTGTGCTCCATCTCCTTCCTCCCAAAGAGAGGTGGCTGTATAACTGTTGGCTCTTGGATCATTTGTGGAGATCTTAGGCTCCATAAAGTGCCGGCGACACAGCCAAAGCTCGTGTGAGGCTGGCACGACAGATGGAAGCACTTCTTAGTTGCCGCGGAATCACGTTTCACACACACACACACACACACGCATCCGTAGACATACTGTACTGTAGCTATGCCGAGGTAAAGCAGTAGTCCGTCACACTAACACACATGTGTGTCACACTCACACAACCCACATGTGTATACCCACAAGGCCTCTCATCTTTCCATGCAGGCGATAAATGTAGGGTGTGTATTTTTTCACATGGTATTTGCTGGTATTCCCGTTCTAAGATGCTGGCAGCCTGATGCGTTCAATTACACCGTCGATTTATTTCCCCTCCCACACTGAAGCCTCTGATCTAACCCTCTGGCTCCTATACGGCTCAACATAAAGCGGCGCTCCGCTGGGGGAGGTGGAAGCTATTTTAGAAGGATGAGAGATTGAAGAAACATCCCCCCATACCTGAAAATGTAACAGGAGACAGCAATTTACTAAACTGCCCCAAAAATGGAGACCATAGGTACCAAAAGACAATGTTTTTCTGGTCAAAACACTTTGGCTTCTGCAGGGAAACCAATGAGTGCCTGCTTTCTAACGCTGCAGGTACTGATTTCGAAATTGAACTTCAATCTGTGAATCTGTCCAGTTACGCTTGCTTCAGGTGGTTTGAAATAGGTTTATTTGAATGTCCCTGCAATTTCCTTTAATATGTTCCTTTAAAGCAGATAAAAGCGAGAACAGACAAGAGAATCCATATCTTTCTGTGTTTGACACCACTTTAGAGCTCTGTTTCTCTTTGTCAGCCCATCTCATTCTCTGTTTTCTCAAAAACACTTGATCCTGCTTGTCTGCCTCCTAATAAAGCATCGAGATCTGTGACCAACGTAGATAGTGCACCTGCCCGTTCATTATTTTCTCCTGTGTTTTTTCATGAATGAACAGTCAAGTAAATTTGGTACTCTGGACCAGAGATGGATACGGTAATCTGATTACTTTTTTCAAGTAACCAGTAAGGCAATGGATTACTATTGCAAAAAAGTAATTAGATTACTGTTACGCTCCCGTAAGCACGCTGCGTTACTGCGTTGCTAAACCGTGATTTTGTTTGTGAGAGTGTCTCATGACAATGACGTACGAGCGTGCGACGTCCGTGGCAGCAACAGACGTGTGTAGAGCAACAATGGATAATCTGGAGTGTGGGGGAGAGTACGACCATGCAGTGCTTAAAGCTTGAAAGTACTGACATTACTTTGAGTTTGATTCTGTGAAAGGTGACAAAAACATTAGTGTCTGCTTTTTAACTGTCTACGGGAAGAAAACTTCTTTTTACAGCGAAAGATTTAACTTCAAATCTGAGCGAGCACCGAGCACGCTGCTACGGGAATGTGAAATTCACAGAGAGACACCCGGATCTCCCCACTGACATGACCGCTCCTGCTTAACAGGTGAAGATGGATTTAACAGCGACAGGACTTAGTGCTGTTGAATCTTTGATTTTATTTATTTTTTCTGTGTTTTACTTGCATCTATTTGAAAGAGCGAGTGTAAACACAAAAAAGTATTTTATTTTATATGCTGGAGAATGCAGAAAATAGGTTTAAATGGTAAACAAATTTCCTCCAGTCAGAGAATGTTGCATATAATTGAATTTTTGCTTGATGCAATGTGCATAAAGTTAAAAGATTAAAACTAATAAAGGAGGAAACATCATTTTCTAATTGGTGCATGGAAACGTTCTTACCCTGCACAAAGGACAAGGAAGATGTGATCTGTCAGCCCCGAATAGAAACTCCTCATATGAAATTGAAAAAAAAAAAACCTGACTCTCCAGCACCCATAGCACAGTGCCAAGAAATTAGACTCGGAGTGATGACATCTGGCAATGATTGAAGTCCTTTTTAATGGAAGATAATAACATTTAAGATATGATAAGAGGTAATGGAATATGTACGTTTGCAGTTATGTGGGCGTTGCACCAGTCTCTTGAGTTGAAGACAGAGCTGAGTGTGAAGCTCGTCGATCTACGTCCCCACCTGCACCCATGGTCACGAGCCAAAAGAATGGGATCGTGGATACAAGTGGCGCAAATGAGCTTCCTCCATAGCGTGGCTATGCTTTCCCTCAGCTGTAGTATTTATTTCCTTTACATGCCTGCTTTTGTAGTCATGAACGCAGTGTTTTAGACAGCTGTATATACTGTCCAAAAGGCAATAATAATAATCAGATTGATTATTGTTGTTATTAGTAGCAGTAGTAGTAGTAGGCTTAGGCTTGTGTTCAAATTGCAGCCGCTGGTATTTGTTCGTACGCACAAAAAGGTAACTTATAAATTTGTTCCTAAAGTACGAACAAATTCATAGCCAAAAATATTGATAAATCGTAGATTTGTGTATACACACTGTTAGTAAATGAGGCCCAATGAACTTTAAAAGTCCCAGTTTTTTTTTCACCTGCTGGATTCCTGACTTTTGGAAGTCTGATAAGGTTGGAGAATGAACGGCTTCTCTTAACAGACTGTCCTTGGTGCTTACACAGACCGGTTGACCTGTCAGTACAGAGTTGAAAAGCAAACCTTGCCATGTGTGCACGCTCATCTTATGTGTCTTTTTCATAGGTTACAAGTGGAGCTGGAGGAGAAACATGAGAGGTGGTTGTCATGCCAACAGAGATGTGATGCAATGCAGAAGCAGCTGTTGTCTTGCAGTCAGAGAGAGGAGCAGATGAACCGGAAGTACTTTGCAGCTGCAGAGGAAGTGACACAACTAAGGAGAGCTCTGGAGAATACAGAGCAGGAAACAAGAGAGCTGAAGAAAGAAAGGTGATGACTGTGACTTCTGTTCTATTCTGTTCTATTCTGTAGTTCATCATTTTGCAGCATAGGTGCTAACTTTGATCTATAAAAGTGCTGCCAGTGAAACAAACAGCAGTAATTTAATCTTATCAGAGTTTGTAACAGAGACACATGTGGAGAAAAAGCAACCAATTTTAGGAGTTACAGATACACAAAAAATTAAGACAATTGTGGGACAGGGGCGTGGGAAGGAGACATGGGGCCCCATAGCTCGGGTGGTATACTGTCGCATTTTTCATCTTCACACCTATAAAGTTTCATGACTCACACAGACACAGATTCACCCTCTCTGTGGCTGCTGGTGAAATGTCGTGAAACAAAAGCCCTTTATTTTTTTCTTGCTGCAGACAACTTAACCACCTCCACCGACCTCCAGCGACCCATGAAAGGACTCGCAGTTCTCTGGTCTTTCTCACCCTTTTCACATTACAGACTTTTGCTACACATCTGCAGCATCTGTCTTATCACCACTCCTTCTGTGCTTCCACTTAGAGCGCTACCTGGGTCCAGCTTTATCCCCTGTTGACGCACACCCACAGGCACACATTCCTCTCTACAGTATGTGCTGCACATTATCCCCTTCCAGCACTTTTATTGCCTGATTTGAGCAGAAACACTCGTCGTAGTTCTGTGCTCAGCGTCCTCTTTAGAGCAAGTATCATTCACCCAAACACACGTGTATCCATCTATCCAACTCATTTATTTTATCTAACATTCACATGGATGCCTTGAAAGTAACTTGAGGTTCACTCTGGCCCAAGGAGAGATTGACCATCTGATTGGTAGATAGCCTGCTGTACCACATGAGCCACAGGCTGTGCTTGCTAGTTTACTAGTTTACTATGTAATAATACTTGGTCTGCTTGTAAGGATTCAAATCATCTTTAATATATATCACTTTTCTATTCTTACTGACCGCTCAGAGCAGCCTACACTACATGTAGTAGTACAGTAGAGGAACTATAGGTACTTTATTTATGCTTTATGGTATATGCAAAGCCATTTAGTGAGCATATGTGAAAAAGGACTAAAAAACAAGATTGAAAGTAAAAGTGGCAGCTGTGTAATAAAGACAGCCAAATTACTGCTACTACTCAGTCGCAGCAGCAAGGATAATTCACCCCATCATCTCTACGTTAACTCGGAACGGCAGCTCTTTAAATAGCTGCCGATGAAAAGCAGTTGTGAAGTGACAGTGAAAGGGCAATCTTAACAGCTGGCAGGCAAAATTTTCCCCAGGCCAGAGTAAGATTGAGGGAGTGGTGAAATTGCAGGGATGGACAAGAAGGTCAGTACAGAGGGACGGTGAAGAGAGCAGAAGCAGGCAGGAAAAAGGAGAACAAATTATGGAGAAAGTGAGGATAGAAAGTAGGAAAGGAGAGTGAAAGGGAGAGGGAGGTAGAAGGCTAGGAGTGTTTCAGGGAGGAGGGATGGAGACTGTGACTGTGGTTTCGGTGGTTACTTCACACACTGTCTGGCTTTCGCATGCACACAGCATGGGTCACAGGGGCCGCACACAATCTACACACTCACTCATACACTCACACACACACGAAACTTGACAGCGTGCCTTTGATTCAGTCTAACTGACACAAAGTTTAAAACAGAGAGACGGAGCGGAGAGGAAAAGTGGAGGGAGAAGGAGGAAAGAAAAAGTGGCAGAAAGCGGGTTCAGAGTGAAAGATTTAAAAGTCAAGAGAGGTCAGGAGTATCCGTGTGCTTCCTCATCCAAAAATGGGTGAGGGCTTGTTTCCAGTGGTTTCAAGCTGCAGAGTTTTCGTGACAAATATGAACTCGAGAGCAAACTCGTTCTAGCCCCACAGAGAAGCAGTTTTAATGCCTCTGGCTTTTCTTATATAGGCTAATAAAAGAATAGAGGAGATTTATTTCAACCACACATCTAAGATATCGCCTTCATCTGTGTTTACCCTTCTCTCTCGCTGTCGTTTTTTTTTAAGCTCGTCTCTTGGTGTACTCTTGATCTTCTCACTGTTTTCTTGGGTGGAAAGTATTATATCATCCTTGTCTGGTTCTTGACTTTTATTATGGCTCTCCCTCCTTCTTTTTTTATTAACAGTTCATAAATTGCTATTGCTGTAAATTTATGTCAATTTTTTCTTTACAAGGCAGCCCATTTGTGCTTTGAAAGCTCGAAAGCTTTGAAAGTGTGTGTGAGTGTGGGAAGATTCTCGCCTTTGAAATCTTCATCATCTTTCCAGGTGGAGAGTGGTGTCCCTGAGGATGTATTATGTCAGCAGAGATTTGTGTTAGCTGTTGATCCGCTTTGTTTATTCACAAACACGCAAAAAAAAGGGGGGAAAAAGTGGAAATTGCCTTTGTGATGTGCGGACAGTTTAATTTCTTTGTCTGTGTGTGTGCACACAGATTTTATCAGCAGAAGTAGGCAAATAGAGTGTGCCTTTTGATGAGGCAGCACCCGCTGCACACAGCCACTCACACACACATGCACACACACACACACACACACACTCTGCACAAAAGCACATTTGCCTGTCCTTAAAAGCAGCCTGGCGTGTGAGTGAACGAGAGAGTGTTCCCGGATTTTCCCATCATTCCTCCCTGTAATCCCCCGAGACCTCCTTCTGAGGGCTGAACTTGCACGCTCACGCTTCCCAGGGGGTCACACATGCCAACACACACACACACACGCACTCACTGCAAATTTAAAAGGTCTGATACACTGCATAGCTGCGGGGGTCTACTTATTTGATAATCAGAGAGGAATTATATCTGACAGTGAAACACATGCACACGCTGCTGAAAACACTCACATAAAGGCATACACAAATATTGTATGCATCAGCAGTTTCTCACATATTAAGTCTTCAGCTTCATGAAACTGTCAGATCCTAACTTGGAGGGTTCTTCGTCTTCACCAGCTGAACTGAAAAACATCTGCAGGCTCTGTGCTTTAGAAAACACACATACTCAGAACAGGCAAAAAAAAGTCCTTTTCTCAATATACTGAGTATGCAATGAAATGTACTTCTCTAAGCAGTTGAATGTAAGCAGCATGGACAAATGACACCAATCCTTGCTTCTCAGTCAGTTATCAGTCAGCGAACATTTAAACTGACACCAGGAATATGCTTTGATTAGATTAACGGTATTTAAGCTGTTTGAAATATGACTGCCTTGTCACTGCTGCCCAGAGCGCTGCAGCGACGCTGAAACGACCAACTGATGGATCATTTGCTAGAAATATAACTTAATCTGCACTTGGTTCCCTAATTTATTGGACAAACACACAGTTTTTCTCTCTGTTCAATTATGATGTGACTGAATGCTGACCTTTAGCAGTCCTTTCATTTTTCATGTGGAGGCTTAAAGATAATTGAAGTCTAGGACCAATTTTCATCACCGAATGCTGTGTTTCCTACCTTGAGATGCTCTTCTAGACTTTTACAGCAACAACCTTCAGCTGCTCTCTTAATTCAGTTTTGTACTTAATAACTGAAAAGCTGCTCTACTGAGGGGAGATCAGGTGACTGACTTGGCCATTGGCATGTCTTTGCCTTGAGAAACTCTTGGGTTGCTTTTGCAGCATGATTTGAGTCATTATTCATTCATACTGTGAAGTCCTGCCCAGTCAGTTTTGCAGCATTTGGCTGAACCTGAGCAGAGAGTACAGCCCTGTACACATCACACTTCCTTCTGCTCTTTCTATCAGCACTCATATCATCAATAAACACTGGTGACCCGATTCAGGCTCTTTTAGATGTTTGGTAAAGTCTAATCTGACCTTTTTGTAATTGAGTGTAATCAGTGGTTTGCACCTTGTAAATTTCTCTTTCCTGTAAACTCTGACAGTGACATTCCTGCCTCCTCGTGCACCGTATTGACTTTGCTAGAAGTTGTGAAGTTGTTTTTCTTACTCATGGAAATAATTTTGTCATCATCCACTTTAGTCTTCTGGTCTTTTAGGCCTTTTGGTGATGCTGAGCTTCACAGAGAATTCATTCTTTTTAAAAAATGAACCTGATTGTTGTTTTTTCCTAAAGTTTCTGTCTGACAGGTTTATTTAGTTTTTTCAGCCTAAGTATAGCCTCCCTCACTTGCACTGACATCTCTTTGGGTCTCGGTGAGATGCTCTAAAATACTAATTCAACACTTTGAATTATCTAAAGATATTTTATCTGCATCATTCGTCATGAAATACCAAGGCCATGAAACTGTGTCAGATGTCCAGTTACCTTTGACCCTTTGACAGTGTATAAAAGATGACTGTAATTCCTAAACACTCAGCATTTTTGTAAACCGCACTTCAGCCACACTCCTTATTTTTTGGTTTAATATCCACTGTGGTGGTGTACGGAGGCAAAACAGCAAAACTCTGTTTTTGTCCAACAAATAATGGACCTGACTGTAATTAGCTCTCACCATTGTTTCGACAACAAAGGCTTTCTACTGATCAAAGATTTATATGATTACATTTGTGTAATTATTGACCCAAACCAAGAGGCTGTTGAGCTCTGGGTTCTTCTTAGGAATTAAAGTGCTTCAGTGGGTGTTGTATGTGGATTACAAATATCATATATCTTATTCTTAACATTTGTGACTTTACACAGTTCAGTTCAATAAGGAGAAATCATTAGAAGGAACTGAACAGGATTTATTGATTTACAGAATTCAGTTGTGCTGTTTGGCGATTACACTCCGATGGCCCATCACAGCAGAATGAAATCTACACGCACCCAAGAGTCTGCATCTATTTTTATGCTTCATTGTATGTGTGTGTGTGTGTGTGTGTGTGTGTGTGTGTGTGGGGGGTGAGTAGGCTGATGCGATTAGCCAGACCCAGTGGAGTGAATAATATTGTGTCTGGCCCGAGCAGGAAGAGATGGAATATAGCTGTTGCTCTTTATTATTATACTGTAGTTCGTCTACTCCACAATCAGATATGCACAGAGTCATCTGTGTGCGTGCTTCTACACACAGCCATCGTACAACACTTTTCCTTGCCCGATGATGCCTCTTACATGCATGAGACACTTTGTTAATCTCTGTTACACATGCATGAGTTCTCATGCCACTTTGTGTGTGTGTGTG